CGCTTCGGCAGCCTCACTCCACATTACTCTCCTTTTATTTTCTAATATTTTCACTTATTTACTGGATATTGCTTTAATTTTTCACTTTTTACTTTATTTGTTTGTTTAAATATTTTTCACTTCAATTTGTAGTGTCAAAATCAAATGTGATAAAACAAAATGTGAAACAGATGGCGCTACTTCAGAGTCGCACAGGGAGATTTCCAGTAGATAACATTTAAATCTCCTCGGCTACGAGATTAACAAATGTCATTTATGTATGGCGAAATCTTGCTAAATTCAGTAAGTTACTGAGATAATCTACTCAACAGCCTAAATCTTATGAATAAGTGTCGGTCGAAACGTGGTATAAGGTTGATATTTTTTCACATTGTAGTAGTACCAAGAACCTTTGGAACTTCAACAGAAATACGTTGTTTAGTAGACTGGAATTAAGTTGTTCGTTCACAGTAAAATTATTAGATTCCTGCGCATTATGTGCATAACCTAGCTCTACAAACAAAAATTTTGTTGGCCTAGATATGTTAGATTTTTTAAAATGCCCATATTACGAATTTATTTATGAAAGTATTGAATGTGGTCTTATTTTTATGATTAATGCATACCTTATATTTTAATTAATTATCGGCTCATCAACAATAAAATTTATTTTTCCAGTCATGATTAGAGTTTTGCGCACCTTTTTCACGCAATAATTTCCGAAAATATACAAGTAATAGTTATACGGAAGGTTTCACTAAAAAAAAAAGGTGGATATATCTAGTATTACAGTCTACAAAATGTGAAGTTTGACTCAATGAAAATCTCACTTTGGCATCAAAAGTAATTCGCATGAACTACTCAGAAACAATGACGTCGCCAAATACCCAATACGGTACAGTTTACCACTGCATGTGAACGGGAGGGTGAAACATCTACACCAAATTTATTTTCTCATTGCCGAAAAATATGCTGGCACATTTTCAGATTCTAGGAGTATCTTGAGTATCAAGTTAGGCTATCTTCGCAATAATTTATGGAAATTATAATGAGGAACAGAGAGAGCTGTTCCACCAGGATTTAAAAATGATGGAAGTATGTTATCAAGTATCGTCATATAATGGTAGATCTAAAATCGATCTTATATAATATATAGGGCAACAATACCACTGTAGACCAATGTACTTAATATTGTCTACTTTAACACATTGATTGCCAAGCCAATTTTCGTTAAATCCATATTATCCTAATAGTTTTTATCATAAAACCTGAAGAATTGTCTTTAAAATTGGACCAAATTTTTCTGCAGATATCAGCGTACCCAGAAAAAATTATCAAAATCATTCGCACAAAAAGCATGACAAATTTGAGTCTCAAACAACCCATTGTCGCTCGATTTCGTGCAACCTGGCAGCAAATGTTTTAAGAATCTGAAAAATAAAATTAAAGTTAACTATCGATCAAGACGGTCTGCCAAGTACTCAGTTTAGATAAGAAAACGAAAATTTTGAAAAAAAATGCGACATAGACAGTCTTCAACTTCTTTGAAGCAGGTTCGCCTGATGAAGTCCATCGTTTCTACTGTTGTATGGTGTATGGTGTGTACCAGTCATTCTTCGACGAGTGAAGTCATTGTTTCGATTGATACATGGTATCTGATATGTACGAGGAGAAACAACACTCCTTGTAAAATGGTAGCATTTGTTAACAAACTATCTATAACACTACTATCTCAGCTATTTAGCGCACTTTCAATCGGCGGTCTGCCAATATGAGTTCGTAGACTTTTGTCACGTTATTTTCAGAGTCAGTTGATTTCAAGGCACCTCAACAAAACTGGACGTGCGAAACAAGGTTTGATCTATATTGTTAAACCTATCTAGGCAAAATTCTGAAAAAGAAAACGCAATAAGTAGTTATCGGCCGGTACATCTCTCCTCCATATTAGTATATTTTTTTTCGGATTGTATTCCACAAGAGCGTATTATCTTCTGCGTATGTATGCTACAGACCGTAGTATTACAACATAATGTCCTGAGCTACGTAGACCGTTGTATGATAACGATACTCAAACCATTATGTTTCCGCATTCATCTTTAACGGTTTCATGTATTTATGGTTGTATGCTCTATTTTCCGGCTGTTGTTGTTGTAGCGGCAGAATTCTACCGAGTTGATAGTCCTTGGCTGGATAAAAATCCGAGTCCGTTCCGGTTACATAGACCCGACTGTCATGGGAACGGTGCATTTTCCGGTCTTCTTATTTGATGAATACCTCGATCATAATTTTTTTTTCAACGTTGGCAACACTTTAAGTGCAGTTATCAAGTAGGTACCGTCTGGTATTGTTGTAACGGTTATCTAATCCCCACTTGGGTGGTAAAGTTCATTGGGTATGCAAAAAGATGTCATGCGAAGACTCTTCTTCGTCTGCAATAGGTGGTGGTTTGACTCTAAGTACGCGATTCACTGAAAGGGAGTCGGTAAAGGTGTTAATAGTTCCACTGTGTATGGCGGTCAGCACATGTCTGTGCATGCGGTTCCGCTTCAAACAGACGACTGCAAGAGTGATTTCTGATTCTGAAAACATCCCAGTATAACTGCTTGGAAACCATATCGGTTCGGCGTAACTTATGACCGGCCGGTCGAGTGTCTTGTATGTTGCCAACAACGTTTCTTTGTATTTAACCCCTAAGCTGCCGGCTAGCGACTTGTTGCGGCACTGTAGTTTGGCAGTTATCGTGGTCGTATGAGGAGTGAAGGGGCACAGGCTGTCAAACGTTATACCTAACATCTTAGGGTTATTGACCGTCGGAATTGTAATGCCATCGGTTCCTTTGTCCAGTTAGTGAAAATGGTCGTGAATTTTGTTTGGGAGAGTGTTAGGCTGTTTACTTTTGAGCACATGCCATCGATTCCATTTCCTGACGTCAATATCGTGCAATCATCAGCGTACGAGGTAATTTCCTCTGGTAGTTGGGGGAGTTTCGAGTTGAGGACCTTGGTCAGGACCTTAGTCTCGTCGAGCCTAGATGCTTTAGCATCAGCATTTTGATTCCATCTGAGCCAATGGACTTGGGTGATTTATCCTTGCTGATGACACTCTGAATCTCCTCAACGATGAAAGTAAGTGGCGCGCGGTCTTTTGGCATTTCGCGCAGCCGTTGAGTAACACATCGTTTTTCCTTGTCTGTCGATGGGTACAGTGGCTAAAATATTCGCGCACTTCTTCGGATCCGAGGACGCATAGCCATCGAATTAAATTTCTACCAGATCGTCATGGGCCGACTTCCGCGATTCTTCCAGTCGGGATGCAGCGAGCAGTAGTAGCAGCGATCACCTTGCGGAATTGACGCTCGCCAACGATGACGGTTTGAGGAATGGGTTGTGCGGTAAAGGTGCTCTCGGTAAATTCTATGAAGCCGACCCTAACTGGCTTTGTTAAAGTTAACAATGGTATGGTTGTTTACAGAAATAAAGGCGGGAGGTTTCTCGATCAAGATAACTATGGGCAGATGGTCTGATGCAAGGGTTACTCATGCTATTTATCAGAACACCGCTAGCGATGATAATGTCCGGCGAGCTAATACAGGTGCCCATAATTCTGGTGGGGGCTTCGCCATTATGCAGAATGTCGAATCAAAAATTTAATTTTTTTTAAATTTTTTGGAGAAAACTGAATTTTAAAAACTGAAAAATATATATTCAATATCATTATGAAAGAAGTTAAGTCATTTCAAAATTAAACCATCTCCCTGTATAAGTTTTTTTGGTTCATTTGGTTTGTATTTTTTTAAACAAATTTTAGCTTTTGTGTACATACTCGTTTGACAACATAGGCACTTTTCTCGGAAACTTGAAGTAAATTAGCTATTGTATTTTTATCTCTATTTAATAAAGAGAAAAACCAGGCTCTAATTGGTTATAAATCTGAAGGTATTATTCTTACTCTTATTTATCTCTGATAACTAGTTTTAGTGAAAATATTTTCGTTATATACATTGTGACCAAAAAGTTTCCAGATATTGTAAATAAAACAAAAAATTTTTAATCTTTAATATTTATTTTGTCGCCTTCAAAATATGCTCCTTCTGAAGCGATACACATATCCCAAATACATATCCTCTTTTTCCAAACTGCCTTGTACACACTGTCCGGGATCGCCTTCAGTTCGCTCTGCGAACTTTCTTTTACGGACTACAGCGCGGTGCGGCCTTTAGACGTGCTATCTGTCTAACACTCGTGACGATTTTCGAGCATGATTTCCTTCACTTTATTGATGTTATCGTCCGTGGTAAACGTCAATAGTCGACTGGAAAAAGACATGTCTTCGACGGTTTCTCGACCATCCTTGTATCCTGTACCAGTCGTAGACTTGGGTTTTCGATGGAATAGATTCACCATAGGCCTTCTATTTCGCAATGATTCCGCACACAAAATTTGGTTCGAAACACAAAATTTGATGGAAATTCTTTCTACGATATTTTTTCCATTGTAAGAATCGCAAAGCACTTATGAGGTCGACTGATTTCAACAGCTACTGCAAACAACCTGGTTGACAGATCCCGCTCATTTTTGGTATAGTAATTAAGGACAGTGCTACCAACTTAACGAATAAAAAGTGCTTAAAAATAAATATTCAGCGCGGGCAAATTAAATGACAATTTCCGGAAAATTTCTGGTCACAATGTATATATACCATATATTTATATATATATTGGTGATATAATATATCTCTTGATAGCTTACTATGTGAGGGGCAATCAGAATTCCTTCAGAAATTTGCTTTTGTTTGTTGACTATACTAATCAAGAAGTTTTTTAAACAACAAAAAGGTAGTTTGGAAATATACTTTTTTATTATAAATTTTTGGACGTAAGTTATATCGAGACTTTATTCAACTACAATAATATTATGCAGCTAACTTTCTATAATTACTTGCTATAATAAATGTTTTTTAATATAATTATATTTCATGAGATGAAAGATTACAATTACAGCATATGTTTTATGTTTTTTCAGAACCAATCAAATGATCAACAGCAACATATTCGTTCAAGTCGGTCAGTTAGCAACAATGGTGATATAATAATTTCCGAAATGGATGATTCTGTCAAAGTAGTCGACCAGATAGTGAAGCTGGACATCAAGAAAGATTCTGATCAATGCCGTCCCCACACTGCATTGACTAGAACAATTTCGCAACCACAACCTCAGGCACAACATGAGGCAAATGTTGAGTCTTATGTAACAACCATATTAGAAAACTTCGGAAACTTGAACTTACATCGTAAACTGGAAAGAACACAATCTGAACCCTTACCACAGCAAGTTAATACTTCCAGGTAATATAATATAATGTTTATACCCTAAACAGGGTATATGAAGTTTGTTTAGAAGTTTGTAACTCCCAGAAGGAAACGTCGGAGACGTATATAAATATATATGATCCCAAAAAGCTGCTCATATGTCAAAACCGATATCGGACCACTATATCATATAACTGCCATACAAATTCAACGATCTGAATCAAGTGCTTGCACGTAAAACTTTCGCAACTTTCATAAAATACAAGGTTACGACAACTGTTGACGTCGTGAATCCAACATCGTAATACCTGCAGTAGGACGAATTTGAAAAATAAAATCATTAGCAATATTACGGGTTTTTGTTCAAATCATCTGCTATATCTCTCCTTCATTGCACATTAAGATAGACTTAAACACACAATATGAATGTGAAAGTTTGTTTAAGTCTAGCTTACCCAATTTGAAGGGAATGTATTTTTTGGAATCATCCACTTTAGGATTATTAGAGCGAAATCTTGAAATTTAACCGCCTCTGTGCCGCAAAAAATAACCCATAGCTTTTTTTAAATTTTCATTTTTGAGAAGCCTTAAGAAATGTAAGAGGAAAACGTGTTTATAAGTATTTCTGTGATATACTGATACAAAAACAGAGTCATAAATATCTTATTATCCAAAAATTTTACATTATATCCTCCGCCTTAAGTTTAACAAAGTTGTGCCAAATGTTGAGATATAAATTTCTTCATAACATTCATATCACTCAATTTTCAAATTCGAATTTTATCCATATCTTTGCTAGCAACAACCCACTGTACACTAAATTAACGTTTAAATAGGATCCAGAAGAGTCAAGAATTTTATCAAAAACACGCAAATACGCTAACTTCGGTCGACCAATTTGTATGATGGCTATATGTTATGGTGGTCCGATCTAAACAATTTTTTCGGATATTGTCGCATTGCCTTGGACAATAATCCATGCCAGATCAAATAATTTACTCTGAGGGGACAAGAGTCTTCATTAAAGCATGAGATAGTTGATTATATACTGAATAATTTATAATGCCGATAAATCCCAAATCCCATTTGTTTCTTAGTAAATTATAAAGGGTGTTTATTTTAGACATGTGGTTTTTAAGAAGAAATAAAACGACCACAACAACGCAGAATATTCCGTTCCAAGGCGTCGATCGTCTCGGATTTATGCCCGTAGACAAAAAAAATCACATAACCCAACAAAAAATAGTTCAGCGGTGTTAAATCGCACGATTTTGAAAGCCACGCCACAGATGATGCGCTCACCAAAAGTTTCCGTCAATAAATTGATTGTTACGTTGGCTGTATAGCATGTAACGCCGCCTTGTTGGGCAGGCACAAAAAAGTCATTACTCAATGCTCTATAGAGTTCCCTATTGACTGTAACATTATGGCCGGCTTCATTTCCGGGATCGGTGGTCATCTCGTATTGGGTTCATTCACGAAACGTGCGAGCGCTTGATCCGAAGTAAGTCTATTTATTATGAAATGGCAAATCAAACAGTATAAATCAAGTAATAGCTGTCAAAAAAAAAAAAAACTCTGAAAATACTCTTGAATAAATATAATAGCGACCGTGGTAATTTACCACAGTTATTTATATCAATTGTATAATTTTGATATGTACTTATTTATATATTATGTTTTCTTTGTTTAAGATATAAAACCGAACTTTGTCGTCCGTTTGAAGAAGCCGGTGAATGCAAGTATGGAGAAAAGTGCCAGTTTGCTCATGGATATCATGAGCTACGAAACTTACAAAGACACCCAAAGTACAAAACCGAATATTGTCGCACATTCCACAGCGTTGGATTTTGTCCTTATGGCCCAAGATGTCATTTTGTACATAACGCGGATGAAGCTAGAGCTTTACAACAAATGCAGCAACAGCAGCAGCAACAGCAACAAACAAAATTGCAAAATCATTCCAGTTTTCATAACTGCATCACAAGTTATCCATTGCAGCTTAAACCAGGAAACAACGCAGCTAATCTAAATCATTCACTACCTTTGAGTCCTCCCCTGAGCATGTCAACAGGCTCAGATCGAGAGTCACCCACAGGGTCATTATCCTTAAGTCCTACCAGTTCTATGACTAATTTTACATTTGGTGATCAAATTAGCCCGGTAAATTCGGTTTTCCAGAACACATTTCCTTACTCAAACACTCCACCCGAAAGCCCAAACACTCCAATTTCCCCAGTGAATACACCACCACCTAATATAATATTAGGTTCAATACAAAATCAGACTTCGTTGTACATAAAGCCTGTTACAATTCAAGGCAAACAGATCCTACAAAAGAGTTCAAGCTCTCCCATCGCTATAATCAGGAATGTTAATAAAATTCCAACCAAAGTTAATTCTGTTTCATCACTTAACAGTGGTGAAGATGCACGTCTGCCAGTTTTTAACAGATTGAGCTCAGCTGTTGAAAAGTTTCCTAACAAAGCTTTATAATTTGACGAAATCTCTATTTGAATATAATTAAAATTTCTAGTTTTTTGTTGTTTTACATTTTAAATTATATATATATATATATATATATTGTATATATATACTATATATATATATACAACCTAAATTATTAAACAAAAAATATATTTTACGATAATTTATATATTTTATATTAAATATCTCTTTATCCAGAAAATGGGTATATACTAGAAAGGGGACTTAGTTCATAGGAAAGAGTTGGAGGAAGATGAATAGGCAAAATATGCTTTTGCATTTATTAAATTATCTATATATAATATTTATTTAATATATACAATATATCATTTCATTTTGTTTGCAGAAATATTTTATATGCCGCTATAAAACTTCCATATAAAATTTTTAATTTATAACTTAAAGACAATGGATAATGTAATAAATTAGGTGCAGTTATAAAAATTATTAATGAAATGAAGTCAATGTGAGATGAGAAATTAATATTTTGTAGTATTAAAATTGAAAAATATATTTAACTGGATACTATATTAACGTAACTACCTGTATAACGTAAATTATTACCTACTTGTATCTTGTTACACAATAATAATAACGTGTAAATGAAATGAAAAATATTTATTCCAATACGTTACAAAAACTCGAAGATGGTTAACACTGATGAAAATTCTCAAAGTGCCTTACAGTTAATTAAATATATACATATGTAGATATTTTAGTATTTATACAATTTTTATTTAATTGGTTAAGAGATGATTCGCGAATTAGTCGTCTTCCTTTTTTACTTTCGTTAAAAAATGCTTCCATTTATTTTTACATGTGCTTATACAAATTTTGAATAAAATACATTAATTTTTTCTTATTAAAATGTTTACAACTGTTTTTTCTTGGCAAATTTTTTATTGAGATTTATTATATATCCATGCATATATTTTCTGGATGAAATACATAGTGGGTAAAACAAAAAAATTAAATCCTTATTACTAACCTTTTTTTAAGTATACTTTACCACCCCTATAATTGGTTTAATGCTGTTGATATAGGGTGCGTTCGAGCTACCTAATAATTGCAGCAGTACAACTACCAGAGATCCCTGACAGCTACTGTGTTGCATATTTGTTGATACTGTGCAGACAGAAATTTAGTGTTGCCGATTATTTGCATAAATTGCGTGCAAAAAGTGACAGTAGAACGTGATGCTGTTGCAAGTGTTGCTAAAAATTCACGCAGAACGTAATACTTTGACAAATTTGCAACACTGCTGCCGTGATTGCCATCTTGAACGTACCCATACATACATACATAATTATTTAATAAAATAATTTTTGAAAATGCCCAATCCAATGTGCACCCTGTGTGCTCAGTATATCTGAAAATATTCCAATGCTTGTTTCAATAAATCTAAATATTTTTCCAATATATCCCGCCAACTGAACACCTGGGATTTGAAATGCCACACGAGAAAAACGAATTTTGAACACCGAAATAACTGATTTACTAATAAAATAATTAACGTTATCAACTCGTCCATAATCTTATCTTAAATACAATTTTAAATGCACGAAATATTAAATGCTGCTTAAGACCGTTTTCTCATTGTCTGGTTAAGCGCTTAGAACTTTATCGGTAACATTTTGAAAAATGCTTTTCTCAATATCTGGTTAGCAACCATTTGTCAATTAAATTCTTAAGCTTTACCAAAATAAGGAGTATTGATTAGTTTCTTATTAGAACATTTAATGACAGCTGTAAAATATATTAGAAAATTCAGTTGCATAGCCCCTCAAAAATTTACATAAAAAAATAAAAACAAAATAAAACAATTACTATACAGTAATACCCCGTTTTATGCTAAAATTGTCCTGTTAATCAAAATACGGTGTGCGTTCAAGCAAAGCAGACTTTTGAAAAACAAAAAGTAGAAGTTGGGGAGGCGGCTAAAAATTAAGTGTTTAAAGCTAGTAACGGATGGTTCAGCCGATTAAGAGCCCTTGTAATTGGCATAGCATCGCAGAGAGTAGAGAAGCGGCAAGCGCTGATAAAGAGTTGCATCTCTCTATTCAGAAAAACTCAAAACAGATACCGATGAAACCGGTCTTTCTTGGAATAAAATGCCTAAAAGAACTTTTATTGCACGTGGAGAGGAAATTCCAGGTTTTAAAGCCGCCAAGAATCGATTGACAGTGATGGTTGGTGCGAATGCAGGAGAAGATTGTAAATTGAAACCTATCTTAGTTTATCTCTCAGAAAATCCAAGAGCCTTAAAATATAAATCCAAAGCTGGTTCGCCTGCCATTTGGAAGGCTAATGCGAAGGCTTAGGTGACATCTTCTCTTTTTGAAGACTAGTTTGGCCATCATTTTATTCCTGAAATCGAACGCTACTGCCAATTAAAAGAAATACTATTTAAAATTATGCTTCTAATTTACAATGCACCAGGTCATCCTCCCGCAACTCTAATTAATTTCGATCCATGAGTTGAAGTTGTATTTTGGCCACCAAACACCATGGTAAGCAGGGATAATATGGTAAGCATGAGCAAGACATCATAGATAAAATGATTCGAAACTCTTTGATACGAGAGAGCGCTGTCAAAGTCTACATATTTTATAACATTTGACAGTGGTGCCACTAAGATATGAAATAAGTTTTGAGATTTTTAAATATATTTCTTGGGTATTTTTCGGTTTCCATATTACACAAAATATACATAATTAAAATTAGTTTAACAAGCTAGATTTCCTATCTGACGTCTAAATTTAAGTATATGTATATGTATATTTTAATCACAAAAGATTATCAAAATTAAAGAAATAATTGTCTATGGCCTTTTGGTTGACGGCTACAATTTACTAAACTATTTTTTATAATACTTTTTATATGAGGAGGAAGATTTCTACATAAATTTTCTTTACAACTATAACCCACTCCTAAATTTTTAATTTCCCTCTCTAAAGAATTTATTTTCTCTGACATTTCTTTCATTTGAAATTTTAAATAAGTAATCTCCTGATCTCTTTGGCACATGAGAATTCAGAGCAATGCAATCAACGTCTTCGTGCTAACACGTTAAGGCAACGAGAGGCGCGTCAACGAGTGACCGACGCTCACAGAGTAAATGAACGACAGCGGGTGCAAAACATCGAGCACTGGCACGAGTATCGTTTAATCGCCTTGCGATTGAATATGACCCTGAAATAGACTATTCATCACATTCGCTAATCATGATTGGTAGTATGGACAAAGAATGTCAATATTGTCATGCTTTCGAATACAATAGTGAATCGGCCAGTTTATGTTGCGCATCTGGAAAAATTTCACTGCCATCACTAAATCCGCCACCAGAACCTTTGAAAACGCTATAAGATGGAAAAACATCTCAATCAAAGTGGTTTTTGCGAAAAATGCGTAAGTGTCGGATCCCCTAGTTTTATATAAAAACACTTTTACAAATATTTTATATTTTATTAAAAAAAATATCACTTTCACTGTTGCTGCTTCAGCATATAACTTTCTTATGAAAAATAATAATGAACTGATTTTGTCAGTTATTTTTAACGGTATTTAATCTAGCAGTTAATTTTTTTGCTTATCATCTGTTCAGTAGCTCATGATCTTGTGGTTTGCTTTGGCAGCTATGAGCTGTCTCAGAAAGCAAAGGGAGGAGTTTCGTATCATGTTATCCATGATTCTTGTCCCGCCTTACGCGAACTCGACTTACACGGAAATCGCTCGGACCCACCTAATAGCATAAACCATTGTATAAATCAAGTAGCCAATCCTAAGATTTTCACTAATATACACGCAAAAATATCCCACTTGGTACGGGTTGCATCGAAAATTCTACTACTAAAATCACACTTGGTACGGGTTGCTAACCAATATTCTGCTACTAAAGTCACACTTTGTACGGGTTGCCAACCATTATTCTGCTACTAAAACGTCCAAATGACAGAAATCTGCTATAGTGTGTTGCCGTGTTATGTTTTAAAATTTATAACTTTAAGAATGTTTTTATTACATATTCAAATATTTTTCGGTTGTTTTAATTTCTAAAGAATAAATTTACATTTTATTATTTAAATTATTATTTATTGTGTTGAAATATTATTAAATGTTTCCAATTATATCAAATATATTATTTTATAATTGAATTGTACCTGATTTTTATATATTTATTTTCGTTTTTGTTGAATATTTCAACTTTTATTGTAAATGTTATTATTATTCATGAACCTGATTCATGTACCTGATTTTATGTATATATCTTTTCGAGTTATAATTGTTATGAAAAGTAGATTGTTTTAGAACTGTATATATTATATGGGTGAATATAGGCCTCCTGGGGAACCGAACACCCAAAAGAGATTGGTAACGCGCCTATATTGCAACCTCAGAGGTGGTGAGGAAAAGCAATTAATATATAATAATCTTTTGTTTCGAAAATATTCTTGAAAGTTTTCATTATTATTTTCATTACAAATACATGTTCATAAACAAATTGTTAAACTACATTCTTTTATTTGAAACTCTGTGTCAAAAAAAGGCATATTCGATCAGGTGATCACGGCTGTTTCACACACATAGGAAAACAGCTGATTCTTTGGCTACTTGTAAGCTTATACAATGGCATAAACCAGGGATAATGGGATGCCCAACTCTTTCCAGTGTGAGAGCGCCTCAAAATTAGCGTTTTTTATAACATTTTGCATTGTAGCCAGATCGGACAAAATAATAATTTTTGGGTATTTAAATTATAATACCGAACATTTATTAAGATTAAATATTATTTTACATGTATGCGTTAAACATATGGAAAAATTATATAAATCCATTTTTGTGATATTGTGATATATTAAAACAACTGATTTTTGCACTTTCAATACTTAAAGAGTGAAAAAATGTATTAACTCTCAATTAGTGAAGGTTTTTTTTATCATTTTCAATTGAAAATTAATACTACGAAACATGGCATCACAAAAGATTTAATCACATACATTTCAATTTTGCGTTTTCTTTCATTTTAATTGTTTTCTAATTTTTGTTAGTGATCTTCAACAGCGGCAACAAATCTCTCTGTTCACATAGTTTTCTGTAGGATTTCAATCTGGCCGTCCCTCTTTTTCCAATTGTTAAACGTCAGACCTCCTGAACTTTGACAGTTGCCTGAGTTCAGGAGGTTTTGACGTTTAGCAATTACGCTCTCATTTCCAGTGAGAGATGAGTTGGGCATCTCTTTATCTTTGGCATAAACACAATACGGGCGACGGCGAATATTCGTCGTATTCGGCGATGCCGTCGGTGATTCGAATACACGATTGTATAATATATACCTTGACGATTTTTGAGATAGAGCTATTTCTCTCAAAAACGGCATCACCATATCAAAGAAAGATTATTTTCAGTAAAAATATTAAGGGTTTTAGAAAAAGAAAGGAAAAAAAACTTCTGCGTTGGCAATGTTAAGATTGTTTATGATTGGTTTCGTCATTTATTGTCATATTTTTGAGCGCTGAATATACACTAGCTGCGACGAAAATCGTCCGTATTGTATTTTACACGGCGGCAACACTCAACGAAAATCCGTCGGATAGCGTCGCCGAGTACGACGAATATTTACCGCCGAAAGTATTCTGTTTATGCTATAACGCGTAAGTCCGGGGTGCTACTCTATTAATCAGCCTTATCGTAAACTTCGTGTGAATAAATATTTTTACCCGACCTAAAAATTGTGAAATGTTCGAATTTCGAGTGTTGCCGTGTAAAAAGCAATTGAGCTATAAGCAATAAGTTGTAAATTTGAATAACAAACAATAAGTGCTAGGTTGTTAGAATTAGAAATATATATAAGTGTATAGCATTAAATTGGGACTTTTATTTAACAATACTCAAAAATCAGTTACAAGGTAAACGATTTATTAGGAAATTCGTTATTATTGTAACGTTTTGTTTTGAGTGGTTGAAAAAAACTTTGCAAACTTATACAGCCAATTATGCGACTGTTTTAGCTTAAACGCATGTTTTTATTTTTAATAAAATATCATAATTTGTGGATCTATTGATATATATATTGTGACGAACACGGATGATAGAACAAAATAGATTCAACGATAAACTGCCAGAAGCAACTAGTTAGCGAATTCGTAGTTGCCAGATTGTTCTAGAAGCAATGTTTTGTTACAGATTTACTATATAAAGGCTGCCGGATTGTGCAGCAAACACAGTTCTAGCAAGGATGAAATGATGTGAAACTCTTTGATTCGAGAGAGAGCTGTCAAAACCCACATTTTTTATAACATTTGCTAATCATGCCAATGTCGAAAGAAAATGGATTGGGTATTTTAAAAATAACTTTTGGATATTTTGCATTTCGATATTATTCTTAGGTGATCGGTTCCCGAGTAGGCCTATATTACGCATATACATCCCTAAATACGTGCATTCATATTATAAAATGTTTAAAACATCATATATCATAAAAAAGTATTATATAAATAAATAAAAAATAACAAAGAAACAATACAAGTCATATTAATATATCTTGGTTTTATGACTAACGTTTTAAATTAAATTTGCAAAAAAACTTTAGTTGCACGTTCCTTGAAATTTCGTTTCGCACTGCTTTTGTTAGCTATTTTTAGCAAGTTTATTTCTGGCATTCCGGATGTTGTGATATCAGCTGTTCAAAATTCCCTGATCTTAATAATCAGTGAAAGAGAATAACAGAAAAATTAGGGAAAATGAGAGTCTCGTATCATGTCATCCTTGGTTGTAGTTAGAGTGTTGTCGTGATAAGAGCAATTGAGACATAAGCAAGAAGTTGTAAGCTCGAATAACGAGCAATAAGTGTTAAGCTGTTGGAATTAGAAATAAAAATGAGTGTGTAGCCATTAAATTGGGACTTTTATTTAACAATCCAGTGATCGAACTCAAGAGTGAGTTACAGGTAGACGATTTATCGAGAAATCCGTTACAATTGGTTTCAGAAGTGGGATTGTCAAATAAATTCCCAAGGAGATAATTATTTGAAAATGGCCAAGTTTAACGATCTGAAGATTCCACAACTGAAAAAAGAGCTGGAGCACCGGGGTTTGGCGACAAATGGATTAAAAACTGAATTACAATCACGGTTGAGAGAGGCCATGGAGGCGGAAAACATTAATGTGGAGGAATATGTCTTTCACATGGAATTAGAAGAAGAGACAACAAAGATAAAAGAAAAGGAAGAGGCTCAATGCTCGTCAAAGATTGTGGACATAAACATGGTTTTTGCCGCAATATCTCAAATGGAAACGCGATTGTCAACGCATTTGGAAGAGCAGTTCGCAGCGCAAAATGCACGTATATCAGCACAGGTGTCCTCACAGTTGAAAGAGCAAGAAGCACGGATAGCGCAGGTGACCTTCCAAACAGCAGAAGGGTCCTCGCAGTCGGAAGAACTGAACGGGCGCATGTCAGCGCAGGTGTCCTCGCAGTCGGAAGAGAAGGAAGCGTGTGTACCAGTACAAGGGTCCTCACAATCGAAAGAGCTGGACGTGCGTATATCAGCGCAGGTGTCCTCGCAGTTGGAAGAGGAGGAAGCATGTGAACCAGTAAATGGGTCCTCACAGTCAGAAGAGCAAGAAGCTTGTATACCAGCGCAAGCGTCCTTACTGTTGGAAGAGCAAGAAGCGTGTATACCAGCACAGGTGTCCTCACAGGTGGAAGAGCAGGATAAAATTAAACCTGAAACGGATGACTCTTTGCAAAAAGGTCCAGAATGTTCAGTAGAGGTTATTTATACTGCGTTGGAATCCTTCTTTGAGAGTTTTTCAGGACAGTTGTCAGCACCGAAAGAGCTCGACGTGCATATGTCAGCGCAGGTATCCTCACAGTTGGAAGAGGAAAAAGCATGTGAACCAGGATCTTCACAGTATGAAGAGCAAGAAGCTTGTATACCAGCACAAGTGTCTTCGCAGTCGGAAGAAATGAACAGGCGCATGCCAGCGCAGGTGTCCTCACAGTCGGAAGAGGAGGAAGCGTGTGTACCAGTACAAGGGTCCTCATAGTCGAAAGAGCTGGAACTGCGTCTGTCAGGGGAGTTGGAAGAGGAGGAAGCGTGTGAACCAGTAAAACGTTCCTCACAGTTAGAAGAACAAGAAGCTTGGATACCAACACAAGTGTCCTTACAGTTGGAAGAGCAGGTAGCGTGTATACCATCACAGGTGGAAGATCAGCATAAAATTGAACCTGAAACGGATGACTCTTTGCAAGAACATCCAGAATTGGAAGGTGCATTACATGAAGTGGAGTTGAACCAATGTACAACGATTGGAGAAATAACTACAGGAAGGCCAGTCACAAAATCATATTGGGCAGAACGGAGCAGTTTAAAGTTAGTGTATGGCTGCTTGCATTCAGTATGGAAAGGCGAAAATGGGCAAACCTTCCGAGTACTTATAGTTGTTCCAAGGGTTGGAATTCCGGATGTTCTTAACGTGCAGTACAAATGTCCAAGAGGAGGGCACTTGAGAGACATGAAATCCTCGGAGAATTTGAAGCAAAGGTTTTATTGGACTGGTTGTCAGTCAACTATAGAAAGGATTGCGAAATATGCTGAGAACATTGTAGCTAAAGGATCAAGGTCCAGGAGTCATGGGCAGATGAAACAGCACAATTCGCGTGCGCCAGTTGAGAAAATAGGCATGTGTGAAGATGGTCCATTCCCCACCAATAAATTACGAAATAGTCATGTTTTGGTAGTCAAGGACCATTTCAACGAATGGCCACAAGTATACACAATTCCTAACCAAGAGACTGAACCAGTGGCGGAGGCATTCATCAACAAGTGGGTAACGAGATTCGGTGTTCCAATAGAGTTACGTTCTGAT